CCCCGCGCGGGGGACGGGACCACCCGTCCGCCAACACCGGGGCGAGGGGCCAGAGAGGTCTGGGAAAGCGGCTAGGAAAGTTTTCACGGAGCCGCCCCCTTCAGTACCTCCAGTTCTCGCCCTCGACTGAGGTGGGCCTTTCAGGGATTCCTGCCCTTCAGGGGAATGTGTGTAGAGCTCCTGCTGTGTGGCGGGCTCGGGGAGGGGAGCGGTGCTGAGGATGCAAGGTGAGAGTTGGCAGACCCTGCCCTCGAGATAGGATACCAGGCGGTCAGGACCGCCGAGGCACAGAGGGGCACGCGGAAAGCTTTTCGGGGAGAGGGTGCCTGATCTGGGTTGTAAAGGGCAAGACTCAGCCAAGGTAGAAAGGACGTTTCCGGCGAGAGGATGACTAAAGGCACCAGCCTCAGAACATCATGCGTGGCGACCACAAGCCAATCGGTTGAATACCTCATCCAGCTAGTACCTACGCGGACTGCAAGATGAGGACATGAGGTTCCTCAGGACCTGAGGGTTCGTCCTGACTCTTCCCCAAACTCCAGACTGTATAACGGCTTACATGTCTGGAATGATTGCACACCGAGTATGTTCCAAAGAGGACTCGTATCCCTCACTATACTCGGGGACTCCAAACTTACGCAACCACCAGCCAAGCCTTCCATTCATCTAGTTGTTCCGCCCAGAAACCTTAGCAGTGTCCTCAGAGCCTTTCTTTCCTCCCCACAGCCTCTCTAATGCATCAGGGCAGTCCTGTCTTCAGCCTAACTCTACCTGGAGCCTAACTGCTTCTCACCACCTCCATTACTACCACCCAAGCCCAGGCCACCATCAGCTGCCTGGACTGCTGTTTTCCTGGCTCCTATTCTAGCCTTTCATACAGGCAAGCCTGTACAGCAGCCAAAGGGATCTTTAAAAAACAAAAAGCAAATGTGGTTCTCCTACTCAGAACCCGCCAATATCCCCAAGAGTCTCCCACTACTCAGAACAGTCTGTGAGCATGGCCTGCAGTTCACCCCATGCTCTTATCTGATTTGACCCCTGCCTGTCCTGGTTGGCTCTGCCAACCCTTCCTGCCCTGTGGATTGTCTAAGCCACCAAACCTGTCCCTGCCTCAGGAGCTTTGTTTTTGCTATTCCCTCTCAAGAAAAAATCCCCACCACATGGTCCCATTTTTCTTTCTTTTTTTTTTTTTTGAGTTGGAGTCTCACTCTGTCGCCCAGACTGGAGTGCAGTGGCCGCTCCCATCCACCATAGCCTCGACCTGCTGGGCTCTGGCGATCCTTCCGCCTCAACTTTCCAAGTAGCTGGAACTACAGGCGTGAGCTACCACGCCCGGCTGATTTTTTTATTTATTGTAGAGATGAGG